ATTACACCAAATACACAAAATAATGTTCTTTTTAGCAGCATCATATGGCCCCTTTAAAAATCTTGGGTTCAGTAAGAATTTTTTAAAAAGTAAATTTTTATGAAAAAGTCATTTAAACTTTATTTTATTTTAATTAGTTAAAATGAATAGTTTTATTCAGCAAGGATGCATGAATTTGATCAAAAGTGACAGTAAAAACATTTATAATGTTACAAAAGATATATACAGTATTTCCTCAAAGAATCCTAGGAGAACAAACTGTAACTGTTTTCAACATTGTTTCACCAAATCAGGATATTATAATGATTTCTGAAGGATCATGTGACACTGAAGAGTAATGGCTGCTGAAAATTCAGCTTTTTCCTGAAATGAAAAATTAAGGTTGTGATGTAGTTTTGCTTGTAGGGTGTTGAATATATATATATATACAATATATCAAGTGTACTAAAATGAACTTACTTTGTATGTTAGAAATAATGCTAATTTATTAACAGGTTACAATATAGTGAAGGTTGTATCCATAGATCTAAAGGCATTTAAAGAAATTATTAACTTCTATTCATAAACATTTTAACTTTGTTTCTTGTAATTGCAACTTTATCCCTCAGATGCAAATTTATTTCTTCTAAGTGCAACTTTATATCTCACAACTGTGATTTTATTATTATTATTATTATTTTAAACTTACAATTGTACTCTCATTAAAAATCTTAATCTTGGGTTCAGTAAGAATTTTTTAAAAAGTAAATTTTAATGAAAAAGTCATTTAAACTTTATTTTATTTTAATTAGTTAAAATGAATAGTTTTATTCAGCAAGGATGCATGAATTTGATCAAAAGTGACAGTAAAAACATTTATAATGTTACAAAAGATATATACAGTATTTCCTCAAAGAATCCTAGGAGAACAAACTGTAACTGTTTTCAACATTGTTTCACCAAATCAGGATATTATAATGATTTCTGAAGGATCATGTGACACTGAAGAGTAATGGCTGCTGAAAATTCAGCTTTTTCATTAAAAGAATAAATCACTTTTTAAATATATGTTCAAACAGAAAACTGATCTTTTAAATTGTAATATTATTTCACAATATTGCTGTTTTTACTGTATTTTTGTCATAAGAAAAGAGACTTCTTTCAAAAACAATTTTTTTTCTTTATTTTTTCTTTATTTCTTTATTTTTTCTTTTTTTATAAAAACATACTGCTATAGCTTTAAATTATCATATTAAACCACAAGAAAGACTTATTACAGTCGACGATATATTAAGCACTGCTCAAGCTACTTAAATGCCACCCAGAGTATTTTAAGAGCACATGTCTGACCCCCTCCCTAGTTCATAAGGACTGCACTGTAGGAGTGTCTGTCCATAACAACCAAACATATCATCCTTAAACACTGTATATTCCCACTGAGAGCAACAGCAAATAGATGGAAAATTGATCAACCTGCTGTCCGACCACTGGGGACCACTGTGGTCTCAAAGCAGAAAATCTCAGGAATTTAACTGCAACCAGTTCAATCATTTATTAAAATCACTGACCAGTACATTATTCATGCCACACATTTAAATGTGGCCTTTTAGGCCTGTGAGACATTAATATTAACCACCTCTGAGCATATATGGGGTATGTGCAGTGTGTTAAAAAATAAACATATAATTGCATCTATAGCAAGAGATTCAATAATTGGCTAAGGGGAGTGTATAATTGCGCAGTGGTGTGGAAAGCCGTCTGACAGTGATCTACAGGACTCCATTAATTGCCATATGAATATACCCCACTCTCTTTTCCACTCTGCTGAGGCATCAGTGTGTGAGAGACGGGTCACTCTGTCTTTCCCGGCCCATATCCTCACTGAGCTCATAATTACTAAAACCTTTCATTAATCTTGCTATCACGGGGTAAATGCAGTGCTCACCATATAAATGAATTATAGGATAAGTGTGGTATTGTTAGTACATGAGGGCAGATGGGTGCCTGCATGCAATGCATGCATAAGGTGTGCATGTGTGCTAAATGTGGATTATATGTATAATTAAAAGATTAGTTGAATAATCCAAAAATTAAAACTCTTTCGGTCATTATCAAATTCTGGTGTTCAGACTCAAATTTAAATTTGATATTCGCTGAAAATATTCCCCTCCACCGAAGCTCTATTATAATACAACAATTAATTAACATACAATTAATATCTATATATGTATCTATCAATATATATATATATATATATATATATACTTAGAATATAGCATATGGACTACTTTTGTGTGTGTGTGTGTGTGTGTGTGTTGCTCAAGCTTCCACCATGGAATTTTAAAAAATAAATCAATTTAAAAGGTAATTATGACTTATCTCACAATTATGACTCACAAGATAAAAAGTCATAATAGTGATCATGCATCGCACATCCTGATATTATATTTATGTGTTGATATTATAAACTCATAATTGCAAGTTAACATCTCACAATTCTGAGCTTTATTCCCAGAATTGCAGGAGGAAAAAAAGTGTGAATTGTGAGATATAAAATCAAAATTGTGAGAAAAAAAGTCAGAATTGTGAGATAAAGTTATCTTGATTCTGTAGCAGAAATAGGTTTCCTTAGAAATCTCATGAATGGTTTGTAAACACATTGTGCCATGTTTTGACAGTGATCAGGATTAATTAATTAATTACAAATAAATAAATAGCAACAATTAAAAATAAATAATAAAATAATAGTAAATCAGTGTGTTCACACAAATAATATTGTTTGACTTGTAATATAGCATGGACTACCTTTTTTGGCTTTTTTCACACTCGACAAGTGTGTTCCCTTCATGAAAGTATTTTCATTGTAAGTGAACTGCTTGTTTAAAATAAAGTGAAACCTGAGAAACATTTTTCAAAGATTTGTATTAGATTACAATTTATTCTTGGCTGATTATTTTATACAATAAACAGACTTGGATCTGAATCTGGAACTGAAAACTGAGTTATAGTGTACATTTTTGTCCTAGCATATCACGCTTAATTAATGATCAGATTCTGTGTCCAAAAGCAACAGCAACAAATCAAAACAAGTTTGAATTGCCTGTATCAGATCTATTGCTTTTAATATCTCCATAAGGTCCCTTGATTCCATCTCCTAAAGGAGTGAACACCGAGCTGACCAACAATGAGTTCTTGTGTTTAAATCTAATTGAAGTGATTGATGAATTCTCAAACCTCTTTAGCTGAGTCCCTGTGTTTCACTGGGAATAAGTCAGAGTGAGGAAAGTGGATGCTGTGACCCTGTGTATGAGAGCTGACTTCCAGCCACAGCACCCGCAATAACTTTCCCTCTCATGTCATCACTAAAGCTCTGTGGGAAGGGGAATATGTTGTGACATGTCCAGATATGCTGGCAGTTAGCCACCAGCCTCCCTTTCAATCAACAGGCTCAGCTGACTGGGGCTCTTACAGTGGCTTTAGTTGAACGGGGGTGGAATCGTAACACTATACTACCATCTAGTCACTGGGAATAAGTCAGAGTGAGGAAAGTGGATGCTGTGACCCTGCGTATGAGAGCTGACTTCCAGCCACAGCACCCGCAATAACTTTCCCTCTCATGTCATCACTAAAGCTCTGTGGGAAGGGGAATATGTTGTGACATGTCCAGATATGCTGGCAGTTAGCCACCAGCCTCCCTTTCAATCACCAGGCTCAGCTGACTTGGGGCTCTTACATTGGCTTTAGTTGATTGGGGCTGGAATCGTGACACTACACTACCATCTAGTGGTGTGTGGAGGGATTGCATGGCTTCTTGTCTTGTCGCGTGACAAGTGACATTTTGTTCCTAATTAAATGCTGCACTTGTTGCAGCACTTCTTGTGGAGAGGGGCTTGCATCCACAATGATGCAGGCAGGATTCTGGATTCTCTTGTAAGCTTCCTCCACTCTGAAAACAAAGAGCAATTTGTCATAAATGCTCATTGTCTTTATGAATATACCTAATGGCGTTGAAACACAATAGAAAACTTGGCTACTACAGGGATCTTCCTCAGGAAATAGAGACATTTGTGTTTTATATGTGTTCTTGTAATGCAAAAGTAAAAATAAATCACTATTTTTTTACTTAATATTTAATATTTACAAATATAATTTGTTTTCATCTGACGAACAATCTTTCATTTTAATAGAGTACACACTACCTTTCAAATGTTTGGGGTTGGTAAGTTTTTTGTAAGTTTTTGAAAGAAGTCTCTTAAACTCATCACGGCTGCATTTATTTGGTCAAAAATACAGTAAAACTAGTAACATTATAAATATTAGGATATATATATATGTATATATATATATATATATATATATATATGATATTTATTTGAAATAGAAATGTGAAAGTCTTTAATGCATCCTTGCCGAATAAAAGTTTTTTTTTTTATCTTCCTGACTCCAAATTTTCAACGGTAGTGTATACAATTTTAAAAACAAATACTACCAAAATGTATTACTAATTTCAGCTATTACTGAAATTAAAATGCAAAATTTACCATTGTTCCTACACTTTCTGTTCAAACCTGTTACCCTACAAAATTATAATTATTTTATGAATCTGATATCATATTTGAAGGGGTGACACCATAAACTCTTTGACCATATGATAAAAAAGTCTTTATCCCCCTTTATATTCAACCCCAAAACATTGTGAATGGGGTTGGCACAAAATATGTTTCAAAGAGAAATTCCATTATTAATTATTAATAATGTTTCATATTAAGTTATTACTTTTTCCCCCTAGTAAAGTTTCATTTAAGACACACCACATTTTCTGTCACAAATGGCGTCATTACCTGAAAATCCCCTAGAAATAGCTATTGAAGTTTACTTTGGAGTATTTAGGCCAGCTGGTGCACAACCAGTCTAGAGATGTAAAACAACATCTGATAATATTATAGGGTTATTACATACAGTAAGCAGGTGTGTTGGGATGTTCCTTAAAAACACCCTCACATTTAACAAGTTGACCTACTTAAGTCGGAAGAGCTGATTGATCTCTAGTTCAGCCTCCTCAACAGTCTTGTCCTGTCCTCTGCCCCTGAGTCTTCTCAGTCTTTCTTCTGGACTGACAGTGAGGAGCAGCACCAGGTTTGGTTTGAGCAGGTCTTCTGGCCACTGGTAGAGCTCTGAGCCTGGCTTTGGGAGGTTTTCAACTCTTCCACCAACTGCTGTGGCAATGGCATACGCTGCTGTGCTGTGCCAGTACCTTACAGAGACAATAAATAAAGAAAACTTTTTAAGGGCTATCTATAATCGTGCTAACTAAATGTAGAAACCCTCCTACTAACTTTTTCTACTAACAGTAAAGTTTGTGCATTAAGAAATCTGATGTGAAACAATTCTAGTGAACCAGTTTGTTAAAGTTAAAGTGAAACACATCCCCCCCCCCAAAAAAAATCTCGCCACACTTCCCAGGTTTTACTATCTGGTAAAACTTTATTTTAAGGACCAATTCTCACTATTAACTAGTTTCTTATTAGCATGCATATTACTAGCATATTAGCTGTTTATTAGTACTTATAAAGCGCATATTATTGCCTTATTCTGCATTCTTACTAACTATTAATAAGCAGCAAATTGGGAGTTTATTGAGGGAAACTCTTATTTAATAGTGAATATGTGTTCCTTATTCTAAAGTGTTACCGACTTTCTTTCTTCAGATGAACACAATGAAAGGTTTTTAGAAAAATAATCCATCTGCGCAAGTCCATAAAGTGAACATGACCTAAAAATTTCAAAAACCACACAAAGCAAACCCGCCGGTAATCTATATGACTCTAGTGGATAAATCATTAGCTTCTGAAGTAAAAAGACATGTGTTTGCAAGAAAAATACTAATATTTTAACATTTTTTTTATTATAAACCATCGCTTCTGGCCAACTGTCACACATGTGTTCATGAGTTCCAAGAATCCATGAAATTGATTATTTTTCTAAAAAATCTTTATTTGTGATTCACAGAAGAAAGAAATTCATATACCTGTTCATCTGGGATGGCATGAGGGTGAGTAAATGATGAGAGAATTTTCTGGGTGGAGTATCCATTTAAGACGGTTAATTTAAATGATCAAAAAAATAATAGTAATAAAAATTATTCCACGACATTTCCCTGTACTGTGCATAAATGTTGCAACACTCTCAGAAAAAAATATATATACAAAACTGTCACTGGGGCAGTACTCTAAGGTACAAAAGCTAAAAAGTACATATTAGTAAAGCTACATACTACTACTTTAAAAGTACTGGTACCAGAAGTGTACATATTAGTACCTTAGCTTTAGCTTTTGTACCTTAGTTTAACTTTAGTTTGTACCTTTTTTCTGAGAGTGAAAGTATTTTACATTTTTATTTTGTTTATGCACCATATTTTAAACTTAGATATAGAAATGTGGTTCCATTTAAGTTTTACTCGTTTGCGTAAATTCATCTGTTTAATTTAATGCTGATTCCCTAATCAATATCCTCATTGTTTTTGTGCCATATAAATACTGCTCTGTTTACAAACATAATTGATATCTGATAATAGAAAATAGCTTTAAATAGCTAGATTGAAAATAGCCTCGAATAAACATTTATGTTTGACTGAGCCTCAATTTCCACAAATCCAGCTTTAAAACAGATATTTGCTACATTCCATACGTTCCACAGTGCTGCCCAAACAGCAGCTGAATCATGTGAGTATATTTGTGGCGCACACATCTCTACCTGTCCACTATGACAGGAGCCCTCAAGGACTCTTTCCCGATGTGGGCAGCAGTGATGTAGTTCCCCAGAGCGTAAAAGGCCCTACGGATGAGGGGTGGTTCTGAGTCAAAGCGCTGTCTTTAATGCTGATTCCCTAATCAATATCCTCATTGTTTTTGTGCCATATAAATACTGCTCTGTTTACAAACATAATTGATATCTGATAGTTTTAAATTAAAAATAGCCTCGAATAAACATTTATGTTTGACTGAGCCTCAATTTCCACAAATCCAGCTTTAAAACAGATATTTGCTACATTCCATACGTTCCACAGTGCTGCCCAAACAGCAGCTGAATCATGTGAGTATATTTGTGGCGCACACATCTCTACCTGTCCACTATGACAGGAGCCCTCAAGGACTCTTTCCCGATGTGGGCAGCAGTGATGTAGTTCCCCAGAGCGTAAAAGGCCCTACGGATGAGGGGTGGTTCTGAGTCAAAGCGCTGTCTGAAAGGAGCCAGGCACTGGGGAGGAGATTTCAGCAGAGTAGCATTCAGAGACTCCCGCAAGGCCTCTGTGAGAGTAGTTTTACCTGGGTACATGGAGAAATCAGGGGAACACATGGAGAGAAGTCAACAGAATTTTATAGTGCTAACTATTTGTTTGTGCATGGTTTTTATCATATTGCCAGCTATGAATTTGCATGTGACATTACTTTCTGCTTGGTGAAAAATATTGTGTTTGACTGCATACTTATTAATTAGCTGAACAAAGTATTTGTCAAAGGCTCAGTGTTAACCTGTGGCATCCAGTCCCTCGATCACAATGACAGGAAATCCATCACCCCTGCTTGTCTCCAACTGCTCGTCTACAAGCTTCAGCACTTCCTTTGACTCAGGGATAATATCAGTGCACTGGAATGGGCAGAAAGATGTATTGATTTTTTTTATGATAAAATGTTGTATTGTTGTCATATTCAGAAGTGATATGCATGGTTGTTGTCCACAAAATAACTACTGTAGCCAAAGCACAATAAAGGTCCATAGGCCCACATTAAAATCGATCAGCTGTTCCTGACGTGTACCAATCCAGTTTCGCCACTTCTCACAATGGTCTACAGCTTGTCTGCACACCACTTCTCTCTCCTCCATCTCCAACTCCTCCTAGCTGGGATCTATATTATAATCTGATATCCATTTGAGGTTGTTTTAGTTTAAAGTACATGGTAATCATCCTTCATGTATCTGGCCTGTTACAACAAACCCATGGTAAAAAATTGTGAATTGTAGTATGCATGATTACTGGATCTGTACAATACTACTTTTATTTAGTACTGACCAAGCGGCAACCTTCCGGTCTCACTCGTGAAACCAACAAGGAAGTGACTAAAACTGCAATTCATCGACTGACCGCTAGAGGGTGGCTTCAAAATGCCCAACTTTACAGCAGAAAAAAATATGTTTACAGCCTGGTACAAAAAGTGGTTTTGGTCTATATAACAAATTTTGCCCTTCATGACAACTGTGAGGGGGGTGAATTTTTTTATAACTCATCTGTTTAAATTATAATAAGCCTTAAAGTTCTGCATAATTAAGGGCGTGGCCACTTGAGTGTCAGGTGGATTGCCGCTTGTTGTCACCACCGTCGAGCTAGGTGGGCGTGGTTTCAGCACCCTGATCTTCAAATTCTAAAAGTTTTGTAAACTGTATATGAAAATAAAAAGTAATATAATGCTTTAAAATCCTAATGTACCTCCTGAAGAACCTCATAGGCTTCCTTCATGCAGTAGAAGACATCAGAGTTCCTGATGTTCAGTGTGGATGGGTGATGCTCTGCTGCTGCTGCAGGTGTGATGTATTGCCTCACTGACTCCTCCACTTGATTGACAGGTGACCACAGCTCCTGCCAGCAGTACTGACCCTCGCGCTTGTATGAAAACACACACACTGATTTACTCTGCTGCAACGTCTTTAGCATGTCCTCTGAAAGGGTTGTAGTGGATTTGTCTCTTATAAAAAATCCCTTAACGACGCTATTTTTGACGTCCGGTATGAAAGAAGACGCTTCAAAAACATCGCAATCGCGCGACAGAGTGACGGACAGCTTGTGTTTTATTTCGGCGTGCGTTCGCGCTTTCTCAGTTCTGTTGTCACAGTGGACATGTAGCGAGAAGAGTTTCCCTTCATCTCCAAAAAGCTGCTGATGAGCATGATGAAGCACTTGTGGGTTTGAGCTCAGCGTGAAATAAAGAGGTTCAGTGCGTAAGTCAAACTCCACCGCGAACACACGCGAACACAGCTGTCCCCCGCGAAACATTGCTGTCTTTAGCATTATGAACCGTGTTTGATATTACCGCAGCATATACAGAGAAATATCATTCTTGCTGATCTGGAGGACAGCGCTTACAGAGAAACGAAACTAGACCCGAAAACGAAAGTAGGCAACTGCTTACGTAATGCCCAGCTGAGTCTGTCAAGCAAGATAACAACAGTGCACGGTGAAATAAATTGCGTGTTAATAATTAAATTAGGATACACTTTATTGCAGTTTCTTTTCAACAATCAAATTACATAAGCAAATAATAATAGGCTATAAATGAACAGTATGTGTTCAGTGTAAATTGCAACTTCCTGTATATGCTTGCTGGAACCAGACCAGCAAGATTGGTTGGTTTCAAGCAGGTTTTTCCAAACTCATTCATATTTGCTTATTAATGCTCATTAAAATGAATAACTGTGCGTTGAGGACATTGTTGTCATATTCGGTAGCCATAGTACCCGTTGCGACAGGAGCAGAATTTGAATTCTTCTTAGGTTTCGTTTCGTTAGTTATTGTTCTTAAAGGTCCCAGTTTAGCAATCATTTCACCAAAATAGATAAATAAAATAAACGCTTAATGAATATACCTATTAGGCTATTAGTGCAGTAGCCTAGTATAGTCTGTTGTTTTTTGTTAACAATTAATGTTGAAATGTTAGGACAAGATCTAAATATCAATTATTAATAGGAGAATGACGATCAGATGAAATTAGGATACACTTTATTGCAGTTTCTTTTCAACAATCAAATTACATAAGCAAACTAGATAAAAAAGTTCGTCAAGACAAACTTTAAGTTGGCTTGAGAAAAGCCGGACAAGAAATATGCTATGCAGTTGCTAGGGTACCCGGGTTGGTTGCTAAGGTGTTGCTATGCGGTTGCTAGGGTACCCGGGGTGGTTGCTAAGGTGTTGCTATGCGGTTGCTAAGGTACTCATTAGGCTATTAGTGCAGTAGCCTAGTATAGTCTGTTGTTTTTTGTTAACAATTAATGTTGAAATGTTAGGACAAGATCTAAATATCAATTATTAATAGGAGAATGACGATAAGTTGAAATCTGAATTGCCCTGTTTTCTAAAGAGAAAAACAGAACGATCCAGTTACAGTTCATCTTAATGACTGACACCACGCCTAGCCTATGTTCGTCTCAGCTGGCAGTGTTTATCTTTCGTTTTCCAGTCTCCCAAGCAAGAAAAGAAACTGATCAGAAAAGCAACTTGAGACTGCCCTATATATAAAGGGAGGTATGAGCTCTCTGGGCGTCAGTTTCTACACACCGTCACCATGTTGACATCAAACCAAGTTGGTTTTGCAGCAATGTTAATGCAATTTTGTTTCAAGAACGTCCACAGCTTCTTAGCAGCCCTGTTGGGATGGATTTTGCGGGACTCTGGCACGCAAGTGCAACAAACACTTGTCGGAAGGATCAGTCGACCGAAGACTCGCCCCAAAGAGCAGAAAGAGGGATCCAGCACTCAGCTGACTACTCCAAGCAGCGTAAACTACCACTTTACCCGGCAGTGCAATTACAAATGCGGATTTTGCTTCCACACTGCGAAGACCTCGTTCGTCCTGCCTATTGAAGAGGCAAAGCGAGGCTTACGACTTCTGAAAGAAGCAGGTATCTACATTTAACTGACAAAAGTGTACGATAGGTACAATAGATTTGTTTATTTATTTATTCGGTTTATTTATTTATTTATTTTAATAGGCTACTTAATTTCTAATAATAAGGATGCATAAAATTGATACAAAATACGATTACATTACAAAAGGTAACATTTTTGTCTTAAAGCTGACTGTCATTTTTATTCTCAAACTTTGTCAATATTATCGATTGTATGTTTTAGGAATGGAAAAAGTCAACTTTTCGGGTGGAGAGCCCTTCATTCACGAGAGAGGTAATTTTCTGGGAGAGTTGGTGCGATACTGCAAACAGGAGCTGCAGCTGCCAAGCGTCAGTATCGTTAGCAATGGAAGTCTGATCACAGAAACCTGGTTCCAGAAATACGGTGAGAATCATTCATGACCAGCAGAGGGCAGCGAAGATTGCTTTTAAACACTTTGGCTTTAGCGTTACACATTCTGTATGTACAAGAAAAACCTATATCAACGTTTATACAGCTCCACGAAAGGCCTACGTATATTAAGCCCCACTTAGTATCTGAATATTAAGAAGGTTCAGTTTTGCTAATGTGAAATGAGATAATATTGCACTGTCAAATGCTTATTAGTGTGAGCTTTTTTGTTTTCCAAAACACTAGCAGGAATCCACCACTGCACTTTCATGAATGCCTTTTTGTCACTATGCACTACATTTTTTGTTTCAGGTCATTGCATGCAGTGACATACAGTAATATCGAATTTGAAGTGATTTGATCTAACTATTAATAATTATTTTAATTGCTGCACATGAGAATCACCAAACCTGTCACATATAGTATGACAAAAAAAAGCTGATGTAACTAACAGAGTGTACGATAAGTAACATAGTTGTGAAGTATGGCCTACCTAAAAATTAAATGAAATTAAAATGTGCACTGTTCTACACTACCGTTCAAAAGTTTGGGGTCTGTAAGATTTTTAAAAATGAAATGAATACTTAATTTCTAACAGTAAGGATCCTTCAATTGATCAAACGTGAAATTAAAAGACATTTATAATGTTACAAAAAAACACCTATCAACTATTTTCAACATTAATAATAAGAAATGTTTCTTGAGCACCAATTCAGCATATTACATATCACATATCATGTGACACTGAAGACTGGATTAATGACAGCTGAAAATTCAGCTTTGTCATCACAGGTAATAACATTTTAAAATATATTAAAATAGAAAACAGTTATTTTAAATTGAAATAATATATATATATATTTTTTTTGATCATATAAATAATTGCAGTCTTGGTGAGTATACGAGATTTCTTTCAGAAAAAAATCTCACAGACCACAAATTTTAAACTGTATATTAACTAAACAGAATATATAAACTGTTTAATACATTACAGAAAAATACATTGTTATATCAAATATATTTGCATATGGACAAAAATGCTCAATTTTTATTTGTATCTGTACTTTATAGGTGACTACTTGGACATCCTGGCAGTATCTTGTGACAGTTTTAACGAGGACACCAATAAAGTCATAGGTCGAGGTCAGGGCAAGAAGAGTCACCTGGACAAACTACATAAAGTTCAGAACTGGTGCCGGGAGTATAAGGTGGCTTTCAAAATCAACTCAGTTATCAATACCTACAATGTGGATGAAGATATGACCGAGCAGATCAATGCTCTGAGCCCAGTGCGCTGGAAGGTATACAGTTACTTCCTTTACCACAGACTCTATCATTTTAACCAGGCTGCTGACCATGTGTTTAAGGCTGTATTGCAATGTACACACAGGTCTTCCAGTGTCTGCTAATTGAAGGTGAAAACGCAGGGGAGAACAGCCTCCGCGAGGCAGAGAAATTCATCATTAGCGATCAGCAATTCCAAGACTTCCTGGACCGCCACCAGAGCGTTAAGTGTCTGGTTCCGGAGTCTAATCAAAAGGTAATTTTGAGGCACAGAGCGCATACTTTCGCTCAATTCAGATCAGAGTTTCAAAGTAGCTTACAATTTGGAAGATAAAGGGGCTTCAATTTATGAGTAATACAGCAATAAACTTTTAGTTTCAATTCATTACCAAAGCTTTTACGACTTATAAGTGTCAAAGTCCCTTTCTATAGTCTTTGTAAGTGTGCACTACGAGATTTGAATTTAAATAAAAATAGCTCTATTAGATGGATGCCTGGGACTTGAATATACTGTTAACTTGATATGAATTGTTTACTTGTTTATTTTTCTTTTACAGATGAGAGACTCTTACCTGATTCTTGATGAATATGTAAGTGGTTTCATATTTTCTTCTCAGCATCCATTAAGTTTTCTTCTCATGAAGGATTTTTTTTTTATATTCGTTTATGTTGTCATTAGAGTCTAAAGGATTTTTTATTTTTTTGGGGGTGTATTAGATTACACTATTATTACAGTGTAAATTATTCTTTTAAATTACATTATGCCATCATATCAGTAGCTTGGGGGATTATGGATAGGAATGTAATAAGGCCTGCAGTAATTTGCCTCATTCCAGACTTCAAATTACTTTTCCCTCCCTTGATAATCTCTGATCTCTATTAATAATCATGCTGTCTACGCTACATCATCAGAAAGAGCAATCATCATAAATAGATTTTTTAATCCTCCATATCTGATGCCGCAGATGCGCTTCTTGGACTGCCGAGAGGGGAGGAAAGATCCGTCAAAGTCTATTCTGGATATTGGTGTGGAAGAGGCCATCATGTTTAGTGGTTTTGATGAGAAGATGTTCCTCGTAAGAGGGGGGAAATATGTGTGGAGCAAAGCTGATATGAAACTGGACTGGTGAACTGTCTCAGTGTTGCTGTTTTTACTCTGTGTTTACATTGAGACCTGATTTAATTTATAAGTGTTAAATATATGGTAATAAACAATTGTACAGTGTAGTTACAGAAGTTACAACACAGCTCCAAAAGCTGGTTGGATACATTGGAGTGTAAATGTCTGTGTTTTCACTATTTTTAAGAGATTCTACTGCACTGAAATACTTGCATATATAGATTATTATGTAGATATGATTTTGTATATATGATTTGTATAAGATTTGTATTATGGCATGCTTGCTTTTCATCTGGAATATTTGCATAACCTGAAATATGTTTTTAAATTTGACTGTGCTATGGTTGTCTTTGTCTTGACATTCTTAGCAGAAGTAATTGATTTAATATAATCTTGGAAGAAAATTATTGATAGATTACACAGTTTGATTAACTGCACTTTGAAAGCACTTTGAATTAGAATTAAGATTTAAGCACACCTTTGATGCTTTAATTGCCATAGTGTAGAATTGACATTTGAGTTTGTAGCTCCTCAGATCGCAACTTTGGAAAACTTACAAAAGAACTCTAAAGACTTTCTCCTGTAACCAAATTATTAAATAAAAAGCTTTGAGGCACTTGTAATATGTAGTGAAGATCATGAGGCACCCTGAAAAAGGAATCTATAGAAAATGAAATGATTCCTCAAGTATGTTTTCATTTTTTTTAAAAGCGATGTTGTAACGTCATATTATATTTTATTGAAAATAAATATTTTTGACACAATCTTGTTACATCTGATCTCATAATTGTTCAAACTGCTCAAAGTGTCAAATTTTAAAATGAAATAGGCATACGCAACGCTACGTTTACCTTACCTTTAATTTCTTTAAAGTCTTTAAGCTTTCATTGCTCAGTAATATTTAGGTAATCCCTGGTATGGAGTACATTTTTATGTCCCCATCATATAGGCTACATCCTAGTATACATAAATACATTTAAAAATCTTTTAAATTACTGGAAAAAAAACACTAATAATTAAAATGATTTTTTAAAGATGGAAATCGTAATAGTACGATTTATTTTATCACAAAGTCAAAATAGTGGTGATTTTAAAATAATGCCAAAACTGGCAATTTATGATGAAATATTTTAAAATATGTTTTCTTGAAAAAAAATGTTTTTTTGTTGTTGTTAAGAAATATATTTTCACATTTCATTCTGCTGGTCTTTTGTAATATCCAACTAACAAAATGTAACTAGCAACAAACATGTCCTTGATGAATGCAATGGATCTGATACATTTTATGTTATACTTTAAAATATTCCATCCTTTCAAATAAAGCAACATCGATGTAAAATTATCAATGTTTTAAACGATGGTTAAAAAAAAACTGAATTAACTTTAGGTTGACACCCTCACGTAAGGTAATGTTACCCCAAGAGCTCCCAGAAACATATCATTTGGAGCTGTCCCAGACCCAAAGTCTGATTTCAAGAGCACTATTATAATATATGTGTTGTGCCCAACAGAGGGCGCTAGAGCTGCGCCTTCGCTTCAGAGACGCATATATATACAGACATACAGACCCGCTGTACAACACAGCACTAGGAAATACTCAGACTAATGGCGTCTTCACAAGGCGTCCGACGGACCAGCTGATTCTTATATCTGCCTGCAAAACTACATGAAGACATAAGGTAAAACGCTCGTGCAATTACAGATGGCTGTGATGAATGTATCGGTCTTAAACGAAAATGTTTTCTTATCCACAGTAACCGCTGTATACGACACTATATTGACTTTCTGAAATGCAGTAGGATTTGTGCAGCGTTCATCGTTTTAAAGCCGAACGTCTATGTCAGCAGGTCAATATATCATAAAAATCTCGGTTTTATTTTATTTGGCAATGCTTTATGATCTTCATTAAGCTTTAACTACGAAACTCACTTTCTTCCTGGATGTGCAGCTCCAGTATAGATTTGTTTACCCGATTGATGTCTAAGATGGCTGTTTACTATTAGAATATGACCATAGGTTACTATCACGTTCACATGGGCTGGCTCTCAAAACCTAGTGTGCTGCCTACCTAGACAGCGTTTTTGGGCATTATAATGTCTAATAAGGTTTCACGAGTCTGTAATGCTCAAAAAAGCTGCCTAGGTAGGCAACACACTCTGTTTTGGGATCTTGGGACCATGGGACCCTTGGCCCGTCCAGTCAGACGATGCAAATATTATATGAAATTACCCATTCTGGTGTTTGATGAGTGGATGTGCTCCAGTTCAGGAGCTGGTGCTGTGTAGTGGTCTAGAAGATCGGGATTGGGTTGCATAGTTCGACAGTAGCTTAAGTTTTGACATGAACCCTGGATGAACATTCCATGGAAAGACTGTAAGTAGCTCTGAGTTATAGGGACTTTCCATGCTTTTTTGGGATTGTGTAGAATTTGCTAACCCTTAAAGGGATAGTTCACCCAAAAATGAAAATTTGATGTTTATCTGCTTACCCCCAGGGCGTCCAAGATGTAGGTGACTTTGTTTCTTCAGTAGAACACATATGATGATTTTTAACTCCAACCATTGCAGTCTATCAGTCGTATAATGCATGGCAATGGTAACAAAATCTATGAGAGTAAAAAAAAACATGCACAGACAAATCCAAATTAAACCCTGAAGCTTGTGACGACACATTGATGTCCTAAGACACGAAACGATCGGGTTGTGCCAGAAACCGAACAGTATTTATATAATTTTTTACCTCTAATATACCACTATGTCCAACTGTCTTTGGGCGCGCGCACGGCATCCGGTGCGTGAGGTGTGTACCTTTATATCCCCTTTTTATAGCAGCTCACAGATGCTTCAGTTCAGCCAAAGGTTGTGATGACCCAGCAGCAAGTACAACAGTTATCTCAAGAATATGATAATGAACATGCAAACTTACTGTTTTGCTCATGAAATATTAGCTTAAATGTGTCAGGCTAGTGAAAAGCCAGTTTGACGTTTGATTCTGGACTATTAATCCTATTCAAGACAAAAGGAGACAAATTGTGTGCATGGTGTTAAAAAGCAGTAATCAGAGGCTTACTCCAGGGCTAGACTAATGGTTAAAATGATAATTTACATAATCATCATAACTAATAATCACGAATGTTCACATTTGAGAAATTTCTGTTTCCATTTCATCAGAATTTTTGACTTTCTCACAATCAAAAATCCAGAAAATAGCAACTTATAAGAAGAGTTTATTTACCTCATGTAGTTTCCTAAATGTAGGCCTATTATATTTATCATACACATTAACACACTCTCTACATTGTAGAAGCTTTAACGAGCTTTTCTCAAAATCTAAAACCATAAAATTCCTAATATTAATTTCAATAATTCCAAATTATATAGCATTTTTCTAATAGAACAACAAAAAGGTCTGTTTTCTCAGATTATCGACTCTTGATTAAGTGCAGAGAGAACACATGTGCAGGGTTGCCAGGTTGATAAAATTAAGTAAAGCACTAGTCAGAAATTGAGAAGAAAAGCTCTAACTCTTAACATCTGGGAACACCAAGCATGAAAGCTCATGGAGGCTTGTTACCAGTGCTTAACACAAACATCATATGAGCCTCCATGAGCTTTCATGCTTGGTGTTCCCAGATGTTAAGAGTTAGAGCTTTTCTTCTCCTGAAACTTTATGGGAAATCCGTGAAGACATTTACTAGCTTTGCTAATGTATTCTAACCTATAGGTGAGCTTCACAGTCAAGCATACTATATTTTTAACCATAATATGGCCTTGTTTGACCTTCTCAGCCCCCACACACATACATCAATGCACTAAATGCATTACAGAGCACTTAAAGCTGTTAAGTTATGGCAAGCATTTGGAAGTAGGTAAGTTTGAGATACAAGGACCATTTTGCAATTTAATTACGAGAGGCAGTATGACAACAGACAGTTTAACTCAGAATTTTGTTATTGCCATACCAACTGATAATGAATGACAATCAGCTTTTCCAATCATATATTAATTACTTAAAGATTCCATATCAGTTTCACTGAATACCTCCAGATTCCAATCTGTGTTGCCATTATCTCAAGATGGTAAGGATTTTTTATGAAATTGAGTATTTCCTAAATGCAGTCTCTTAATTACATACCATGCTTTCTCTATTAGTCAGTCGTCATTCCCATCAGTGATATCAAAAGCTGCATTGTTGCTGCCCACCAGCTGTGGATGAGAAACGCAAAGCTCTGTAATGCAGGCAGGAGACTGGCTGGCTCATGGCAGAAGGTGACCTCAGCTGGCTAGGTTCACATCTGATTGAGTCAGATATTTTGCAGGATAAGTCCCAGTAGCCTCGTGTATAAAAGTTGCTTATGCACAAAGGGAGTTTCCAAAGAGAGCGTGCCAAGAACACATTGGGATTCATGAAATATAAATAAACGAGTCACACCAAAAGACTCATACAAGTCAAGTTGTCAGTTTGGATCAGTCACTGTTATCAAGGTGAATTTGCCACTGAATGAACTCACTGAATCTGTCAGTGGTTAGTTACTGAATTTGAATCAACATCCGCAGTTTTTACTTTCAGTAGTGTGCGACAACTAGGCTATAGTTCAAGAAGACACATTTGCAAAATGTCTAAATGTCTAAAATATCTAAAAGTAATATTGGTAACTGACTAGTACCATTAAATTTTTTGTATGATGGCTGGCCTTTTGGTGAACAAGCTTGCCTGATGTGATTTTTAACTGCAGTACCTGAGTGACGGGTATAATTTTTTATTAATTCATTTCTCATACACGGTACCAACTCAAAACCTGGAGTCTCACCCTGTCCTGCAGCATCAAGCATTGCCACATGTGGCTGGTTATAAAATGAGGCATTTGCATGTTAGTAGCTTGATGGCAATGTGTGAAAACCTTGCAGAGCTTTGCCACATTGTAGCACTGCACAACATCGTCTAAATTTCGATACCACAATGATGGTAGATGCAACAATAATTCAGCAAGAAAATGGTATGTTCATACATGATGCAGTGTTTTTGAACCACCAAATTCCACCAGTCATTACTATTTTTTTAATCTCACAACTGCAACTTAATATCTCTCATTTAAACTTTATTTCTCAGAATTGCAACATTGTAGCTTACAATTGCGACTTTATGAAGTATCTTAAAATTGTGTCTTTATTTATCTCACAGTTGCTACTTTATATATAATTAGGACTATATTTCACAGTTGCAACATCCATATTCCATAATTGAATTCAAAAATTGCAATTATTTCTCAGTTTCTAATAACTAAATATTATATTACATTGCAAGTGTTTCTCATAATTGCAACTTTTTTGCCACTTCAAATCTCACATTTGTGACTTCATGTCTCATAATGGTGACTTTTTATCTAATAATGTAACAACTTATCTGAATTGCAATTTTATATCTCACAATTGCTACTTTATATCTTATAATTCAGACTATCTCACAGTTATGACTTTTATCTTACAGTGTGACTGTACTTCCTATAATAAACTTCACCTGACAGTTACCTTTCTCAGCAACTTTAAAACAGGAAGAATTTCTCACCGTTTTTTAACTGCTTGGTAGCTGCCGTGGCTTGTTCAAGTAGAACTTTGATTGCCTTGGCAAACTAGTGAAGCCTGACTTATCCATTGAGCTGCAAAAGAAAAATACGTTTTTAAACACAGTAGTTCATTTTGTAAGTTTTGTTTTTATGGCACAGAACATTTTGTGCCTGCTTATCGTTTTGTACAATAATGTTACAATTATTTTATTTTCAGATACTCGTTTCTGTTTCAGCAAAACTATGAGATAGAAGTGTGTGTCTGGAGTGTCAAGCCAAGACAATGCAGTATTTGCTTATGGAGTGTTTTCCAGTAAGGGTGTGTTTGCTGAAGAAGAGAAGTTTGGGCACGTCCTCCTGACCTCAGCATCTGTGATTCAGAGCTTATTCACAACTATTGTCTATAGACGACACTTCATAACTGTGTTTTCCAACTAATGATGGAGAAAAGAAGCATCTGAATGTTGAAAAGCAAACATATTATGTTTTTTTGTGTTATTTTTCTTTGTATTAAATTTAATGGTTTTAAACTTTGATTTATTTTCTTCTTTTAATTAGCATGTTTTTTTTTTTTTTTTTGAGGAGCAGAACCTTGAGTGACAGATGGAATTCATAGATAACCTCAGGCTCTCAGTCTCTGATCGTGTCAATAGAAATAAGTACTCTTAAATAAGCATGCTTGTCATATCCTCTTATTTTTTCAGGCACAAATGGTGCGCCACAAGGCTTCTGAGAAGAAAGATGTCTCTTCATATTTTGATTTAGTTTTATTCTGACATAGCTGATGTCTTTTTTTTTCATTCAAATCCTTGTTTTCACACTACAGAGAGGCTAAATTTCTCACTGTTTTAATTCTGCTTTAACAATTCTGCCATATTCATCCTTGGGAGATAATGGTATGCTTTAGTCACACTGGAAAATGTTTTCCACCATCTGGAAACGTTAGGCAGAGTGACCTCAGATCTTTAGAGAAATCCTCTCCTTATTTTGGAGGATTGACCTTTACAGTACATACTCCTGTAACTTTGATCAGATTGTCGTTGCTTTCCAAGATATTCTTCCTTCAGGCTGTCTGAGAACACTTCCTCATTATTCAGCTGTTTTCCTACCAAGTCA